CAGAAGTCAGAATTTGCTTTTGCTGTTCCAGGTCACGTTTATTCTCTTGCAAATCTTTTATCTTTTTCTGAGCATTTTTAAACTGCTCTTTCCAATTGGTTGCCTCAAGCTGGGCTTCTCTAGCTATCCTCTCAGCCTCAAGAAAAGTCTGATCAGACTCGCGAGCCTTCTTTTTTAAGAGGGAAATTCTTCCCATCAATTCCGCACCAATGAGGTTAGCCTACAAAAACAACTCATGAAAGTTAGAATTAAAAAGAAAGAATTTATTAAAGAGTAAAGGGAGAGTACCTTCAATGTACAATGAACTATATCATTCATCAAAGTTAGACAACTGTGACTGTCCATCTTCTTTTTCTCAATATCCCCAATTAAGGGTTCAAGCCAAACATCTGCTCTACCAGACTTCCTTAAAAGACTGCTATTAGCAGGAACCTCAAGTGTTACACTCCTCATAGCCATGCTTCTGCTACTAGAACCCTCCTCTGCATAATGAGTAGAGGAAGGGGGAACTATAGAAGGAGGAACGGTAGAAGAGGTGAAAATAGTAGTAGTCGAAGGAGTCGAGGCAGGTAAGGGAGCAGAAATTGACAAAGAGGCAGGAACAGACAAAGTGGGTAAGGAAACACTTGAAATTAGAGGAGGAGGAACAGAAAGAACAGGAACGGAAGATGAAAGAGGAATTTCATCTAAAACCGGACCTAATTCACCACTTTCGAAGCCCTCAATAAAGAGGCGATGAGTGGATTCAGGGGAGTCCCTTGGAATGGTTTCTTCATCGGAGGTAATAGTAACGGGTTCGGAGATACGAGCGGGAGAGATTTCAGTTTCATCCTCAGAAACAATGCGCCTCCTGGTTCTAGGACGAGCTGTCAAAGAGGTATCTTCATCTTCATCAACGTCAGAATCCTCTTCAACCACTTTCCTCTTTGACAGCGTGGCTTGTGTTCTTTCCAAAGCAAGAGGAGTACTGGAAGAAGCTCGAAGGGTGATAGCTACTTCAGCCGACATCCCTCGAATAGCAAATCCTGACAATAAGAAGGATAAAAAGTTAAAAGAGGGGAAAAGAATTTAACACACGAGAAGCAAAAAGGGATGTATACCGTGAGTTTTCACTTTCCAACCATGTTTGTTGGAAATAGATTTCCAAGTTCGTGCCTCCATAGGCACGGCTTTCAAGACAGCATCTACCCAACCACGGAAATTAGGAACGGGTTCCACATCTCCCATGGTTGCTACAAAAAAGCAAAGGAATAATAATAAAATTAGAAGAGAAGTTGAAATAACGAAAGCAGATACGGCAAGGAAGAAAATAATTACGTGCAAAGTTCCATTTCTCAGGAAAAGGAATATTTGATTCATCCACCAAATCAATTGTGGGAACAGCAACAAACCGGGTGTACCAGCCACGGTCGTTATTATCTTCAGGGTTAACCAAAACCCTCTTACTTCTTGCAGTTAAGGTAAAAACACCATTGCGGAATAGCTTGGGGTGATAAAGATGAATTAGATGAGGGAAAGTAAAGTCGACATCAGCTTTGGTTGACATATACCTCAAACAAGCTACTGCTCTCCATACGAGAGGACCAACTTGAGCCAAACAAATTTTGAAAAAACGACAGAAATCAAGTATGACTGGATCAATAGCAGGAATAAATCCCAAAGTAAAGGGGATAAGTGTAAACGAAAGAAAAGCCAACCCTATAAGAAGATATTCTTTGGTGTGGGGTAGGAATAACTATGTGGGTGTCATCTCTCCAACGACAGTCTCTTCGAACAATTTGAATCAAAGGTTCAGTAATTAAAGAGGGATATTTATCAGCTCTCTCTAATTTAATCACTTGGTCACGAAGGGATTCTTTGTCATGTTCGAAAGATAAATCTGTTGGCACAATTTCTTCAACCAGAGGCTCTTGGTTAGACTCAGAAGATTCTTTTCCCTTTGAAGTGGATCTGTTAGAAAGAGAGCCTCTAGAGATATTGCCAGAACTAGAAGAAGGAGTGATAGAACCAGAGGTACCACCACGAACCGACCCTGTACCACGAAGCACACCTCCTCTACCTCTTCTATATCTAGCAGGAGCATTGGGGAAACTATCAAGAATTGGAACTCTTTTAGGGTTAGGATTCGAAGACGACATAGTGAGAAGATATGAACATAAGATATGAACTGAAGAAGAAGTGAACGAGAATAAATAGCAAGAAATTTGGTAAAAAGCTTGTGAAGAAGAAGACAAAGGAAAAAGGGGGCAAGTTTATATATAAACTCAACCGTCGATAATTAAGAAGTGTAATGATGGAAAGCCTATAATAAAGGCAACTATCACTTCGTGAATAGTGGAGTTAAAAAAGCCTTAGAAAAAGGCTGCAAAATCGCAGAACTAATGAGAAGGTGACACGTATATGGTGCATTAAATAGAAGAGACAATTGAAGCGTCGACACTGTCATAGCATTGATTAGGAAAAAATTCCCTTTTTAGTGAAGATCCACTTCCCAAATATTTAATTGATAAATAAATGGAAAGTGGGGGGACTATCTGTATTGAAAAAAAAAACTGAATTTATAATTGAAGATGACGTGGCATGACACGTAGACTGGTCAAATGGTCAAAACATGATGAGCAATTAAGAGGCACGGGAGATATCAGATACGAGGAGAAGAAAGTTAAATAGGCACGAGATGCTATTCAAATGATACGAGTCTCGTATCTATTTAACTTAATTAAAGCCAGGAGGTCAGAAGGAATTGAAGATATGAATCTGATGGCATAAAGGAGTCTAAATTCAGTACTAAATGTCAAATACGTTAGCGAATCAGTATTGATTAGGAATAATTGTGTAACGTTTCATTTAATGTCATTTAATGCTCATAATTGCCTCTTTAAGGCTAAGGCATTATACCTTTTCCTAGAAAAATCAACTATAAAAGGAGGAGGTCTCAGCATTTGTAAAAAAAGGAGAGATCATTGAGATTACTTTGAAATACGAACTTATTTACTACTTTATTATCTTCAAAAATTTCTTATTCTTTTCGTCTCCTGATTATCAGTAACCCGATTTTTCTTCTTAATTTCTAGTTTTAACCGAAATTCTATTTTTTTTGGTTAAACACCAACCATGTTGTATAGGATGGAGTGTTGGCCAGTCAAGAACTTTTATATCCAAAAGTTGAAAGTAGCGGAGATGAGGATACTAAGATGGATGTGTGGGTTTACTTAGAGACATAAAGTCAATAATGAAATTATTCGGGACAAGGTGTAGGTGACTCTCGTGGAGGATAAGATGCGATAAGTTAGGCTGAGATAGTTCGAACATGTGAAAAGGAGATGTCCAGGCACCCCCTCCCCCCTGTGAGGAGGTGTGAGAGGTTGAACATCGTGAGCCTGAAAAGAGATAGAGGAAGGCTAACGCAGAATTAGGGAGAGGAGATTAGGTAGGATATTACTCATCGTCGATTGACTGAGGACATTACCCTTGATATGAGGTTGTGAAGGTCGAGGATTAGGGTAGAAGGTTAGTAGTAGTAGTTGAGCGTACTTTCCTTCCATTCCGGTAGCTGTAGTATTACTCTTGGTTTGTCTTTTTCTTGAATTTTTAGTATTATCTGATGTTGCTAATGCTTCAGTCTGCTGCTGCTCTTATTTTTTTTCCTATGACTCTCTACTATTTTTATATTTTAATTTGCTTTACTGCTGTGAGTGTGCTTGCTTGAGCCGAAGGTTTTTTGGAAACAGGTTCTCTACCTACACAAGGTCGGGATAAGATTTGCATGTATACTATTTTTTCAAACCGCACACGTGAAAATATATTGAGTACTATGTTATTGTTATAGTTATTTTATACACGATTAATGTAAGAAATTTCTACACTACTAGGCCATTCAAAGGATATATCTGTAGCTATTTCTTCCATACACACACAAAAGAAGTGAAATATATAATAAAGTTAAACTGTTTCCTTTCGACTTGTGAAGTACATATAACTTTTAAAACTCTTTCTTCTTTCTTTTTCTTTTTTTGCCATAAGGATTTCACTCAAAAAGGAACAAAGGATGACAAAAGAGGGTCTGGACTCCGGAGAAAAAGAAAAGTAGAAATATCGTGGGATAGCCATTTTTTAATATGGTATTTAGTTTTTATTCTGTATTTTTAATGTTGAACAAAAATAGCCACTACTCTATTAAAATTAATACGAAAAGACGTTTTTACCCTTTTTTCATGAGTGTTGTATAAATATTAAGGATATGGTGTCCTTAATACTTACACTGCACACATGAAGTTAAGGACGCCATGTCCTTAACATTTACATTGCACATATGAAGTTAAGGACTTGACAGGACACTTTGTCCTTAATATTTACACAACATTCTTGAAGTTAAGGACACCATATCCTTAATATTAACACAACACTCATAAAGTTAAGGACATTATGTCCTTAATATTTACACTGCATATATGAAGTTAAGGACATGAGGTCCTAAAGTTTAACTACAAAAGGTGCAAATACAAGTTAAGGACATTATGTCCTTAACATTTACACTGCACATATGGAGTTAAGGACGCCATGTCCTTAACATTTACACTGCACATATGAAGTTAAGGACATGACAGACACTTTGTCCTTAATATTTACACAGCATATATGAAGTTAAGGACATTATGTCCTTAATATTTACACATCGTCCGGGCGGATAAAAATTTATTAACCACTGGCTAAAGAGTAAATACATTTTAAATAGTAGCTAAAAAGTAAAGATATCTCTAATTAGTGGCTAACTGTGCACTTCCCCGTAAACAATTGGGCCTGGGCCATCTACTGTGCTCGCACTAGTAAGCCCATTTCAGTATGTACCAATCTCCTCGCTAATTTCCCGCGTACTTCCATGGATATACAAACTTCCGAACTCCTCGGTTTTCCCCACAGAAATTTCAATGGTGGTGAATGAAGGTTTAATCAAGCACCTTCACTCCTGAAGAAACACTCCTCATTTGGTTTTCCTTTTCTCTTCTTTCTTCTCCTTCATTTTTTAGCCCTAATTGTATTCACCATTCACATTATCACTATATACACAATCATCACTCAGAGGTGGATCCATAATTTAAAATTAATAGGTGCACGCACTTCTTAATATACATATACATTTGTTTATTCTATTTCCTTAATTTTGTTTAATTTGTTTTTTTTTCCTGTTTTACAGAGATATTAATTTTTGTGAATTATCTTCCGGAATCCGATAATGATATCGGACTCCGCCATGGAAGATGACTAGAATATTCGAAACGCCGGCGTCTCACCTCCGCCATTTCAAGCAATCGTTGAAGACCAAATCCTTAATCTCCTCTTCAACCGACGAACCTCAATTGATCGATAGCTTATGGCGCCTCTATATTCTCGATCCAAACAGCGACATTGTCAATCGCTGGAACTACGTGTTCCTCATCACGTGTTTAATCTCTCTTTTCATCGATCCTCTGTACTTTTACATCCCTTACGTCAGCGAAAACGCTTGTATGGCCACTGATGACGAAGCGGCCACACAAATTACCGTCTATCGTACTCTTACGGATGTTTTTTATTTCCTACATATTCTTATGAAGTTTCGAACGGCTTTTGTGGCGCCCAGCTCGAGAGTTTTTGGCCGTGGTGAGCTTGTTATGGATGCCAAAGAAATTGCGATTCGGTACCTCAAGACTGATTTAATTGTTGATTTTACTGCCGCGCTTCCCCTGCCTCAAGTGAGTATCTATACTTTATTTGACTTGACACAAAATTTGATGCTATTATTTGACTTTATTAAAATAGTGATTGTGGAAGAAAATAGTGAACTAATGGTTAAAATGTCAATTGTATGGGAAACCATCACGTCATGAATAAATCTGAATAAGTTACTCCCTTCATCCTAATGTTTGCTTATTGTTTAAAAAGGCACGCAGTTTAATAAAGAAATACTTATGAAACTTGTCATTTAATACAAGTGATCGACATTTTTGTTGCATAAATTGGGATAGAGGAAGTACCAAATTTGAATTTTTGAAGTTGTAATCAGAATGTCTTTCATAAATTATAAACGCAGCAATGTTTCAGATTTCTTGAGGAGCCATCACAATCTTATCTTTTAAGGCATGGACACAATTATTTGTTTTTCAGTTGGAATAATCACCATGAACATTCAAGTTTAGTACTGCTATTATTCTTCTTTTCATTTTTTTCTCTTTACCTCTTGCAGATTGTCATTAAATATGTCATACCCGCAGCTAAAAGAAATGGATCTGGTCACTCCAAAAGTACTCTTGCTCTTATCGTTCTCATCCAATACGTGCCAAGGTTGTTCGTTATTTTTCCGTTAAATCAGCAGATTATCAAAACTACAGGTTTTATTGCTAAAACAGCTTGGGCAGGAGCAGCTTACAATCTCCTTCTTTTCATGTTAGCCAGTCATGTAAACACTCATGCCCATCTCTTTCATTTTGGAATTTGGTATCAGAAGACACAAACTAGAAATCACCTGACTTGTGAGTTGTGTGCGTTTTCTTCTGTTTCGTGTGCAGGTGGCAGGAGCTTCATGGTATGTGGCATCTATAGGAAGACAGTACTCTTGCTGGTCGAATGAATGTAAGAAGGAACGTGATGCAGTTCCACCGTGCGTGCCTGATTTCTTAGATTGTACAAGTGATACGGATACATATGTACGCGATTATTGGCGAAACAGCACGCAAGTGCTTGTAAAATGTGATGCTATAAATGATGAAGATTCTGGTTTTAAGTTTGGAATTTTCGCTGACGCCTTTACTAATGAAGTGGCTTCATCAACATTCATGGAGAAATATTTATACTGTCTTTGGTGGGGTCTAAGAAATTTGAGGTTTGGTTTCTTAAACTGCAAACTTACTTTTCTTCTTCACTCCCTTTATGTCTCTTTTGTCTTTTCCTCCTTAGTTTTGCAATTCAATGATATTGCTGACTATAATTGAAGGTTGGCTTAGTTTTGCATATTCAATGGTCTTGATGATTATAATTGAGGGATAGCTTAGTTTTGCATATTCAATGGTGTTGATGATTATAACCGAAGGTTGGCTTAGTTTTGCATATTCAATGGTCTTGCTGATTATAATTGAAGGTTGGCGTAGTTTTGCATATTCAATGGTGTCGGTGATTAAAATTGAAATTTGCATATTCAGTGGTAGTGGTGATTATACTTGAAGGTTGGCTTAGTTTTGCATATTCAATGGTGTTGGTGATTATAATTGAAGGCTGGCTTAGTTTTGCATATTCAGTGGTAGTGGTGATTATACTTGAAGGTTGGCTTCTCAAAGTTGTTCCCCCTTTTGACTTGGGTGTAACTTAAGATACATATTCTTATTCTGATATAGTCCTTCCATTTCATTTATGTGACAGTATTTGACTAGTCAAGAAGTAATTTAAGAAAGAAAGAAAAACTATTTACACATATGCTAAATATATGTAACATACCAAAAATATACAACAACAACGACCCAGTAGAATCCCACTAGTGGGGTATGAGGAGGGTAGAGTGTACGCAGACCTTACCCCTACCCCGAAGGGATAGAGAGGTTGTTTACCCTCGGCTCAGAGACAATAGATCCGTAACAACAACAGAAACCAGAAAAATTGTATCACCATCATAAGACAGCAAATAAATGGAAAGACCAAAATGTGAAAGACAGCAAAAATGTGAAACACAACAAAAACCGGTAGCAGTCCTAGACAAAACACTATCAGACTAGCCGGCACAACAAGGAGAAACGATCGACTACCCCCGAACCTACAACCCTAATGCTCGACCTCAAACATACCAAAAATATCTTTAGATTTTATGGTCTTAGTGCCTTGTCATTAATTCCTATAATGGTAGAGTCTAATGAAGGGTAATATGAGAGCTTTAGAATTAAAGACTTCCATATATCGGAAGGTGTCAATCTTCTTGGAATGGACTAAATTGGAAAGAATGTCATATAAAATGGAACTCGAGGGAGTATATTTGTTTAGCTGCTATGTAGTACAGTTTATACGAACTGATTGTATTTATAAAAATTAGTCTGACTTTTAAAGGACCCTTTGGGTTTAGGTCTGCATCCTGAATATGCAAGTCACTCTGTCTGTTTGGTACCCAGTCTCTTCTGTTGGGCTAGTTCGTTAGGCAGCTAAGAGTTGAACTATGATTTCACAAATATTCACCATTGTCTATCTCGGCTACTTAAGTTTGGCAAAAACTTCCAGTGCTATTAATCATTGTAAATTATAAAGTATGTTCCCTGCTACTGCATAGAGATCCTCTAGAGGCTTTGTCTTGGATCTTGTTGACTACTCCGTATTTTGTCAATCACAATGAAGGATTCTATTCATTTTTCATAGCTGATTTCATTGAAATGAATTTCTTGTCTCCTTTGTTGCTTAAGATACCATCAAATCTTTTCAGATCTTTTTTCAGGTTAGAGAATCTTATTTTTGTCTTTACAAATGTTGTCTTGCAGTTCATATGGGCAGAATTTGAATACTAGCACTTATATTGGAGAAACATTATTCAGCATTTCCATATGCATCATTGGCTTAGTTCTCTTTGCACAGCTTATTGGAAACATGCAGGTAAAATTTTGATGATAATATGTCGGAATAGATCATTATTATCACCTTGTGCAGTTAGCTGAAGCGATTTCATCATGGTTTATGTACATCATTGATTTCGAATACATGTTATGTCAGTCACCTTAACGTTGTTCTGATGATTCACCTCTAGAACAATGTTAAGCATGATAGGACTGTTGAATAAGACATTGTTAATTTGTGATAGTTGATTTATATAATTTCATCTTAGTTATCAGCAACATGAAATATTTCACGGAGTTGGAAATTTAGTTCTTTCAAGAGTAACAATGTCTCGTTCGACAGTCCTATCATGCTTAATATTGTTCTAGAGGTGATTTATCACAACGTAAAGGTGACTGACATAACTCCAATTTTTCTAGTTCAAGTTAATGTCTGCTATGTGCCATTACTCAAGATCTGTTTCCTAAAACTCTCATATAATAAGCAGCTTAGGTTCATCGGCATTAGTAGTATAACCAGTAATCAACATTAATTCTGAGTTGAACTGGGTACAGTGATATCTATTCTTAAATTATGCTTAGGTTTGTAGGTGATTGGTAAGACTTGCTTAAAATTTGAGCTATCTTTTTTCATTTGTTTCATCTAGTATAGTACATGCTTCTTTGTCCTTGATACACTTACGAGTTTCTTCCCTTTCAGACTTATCTGCAATCTATGACCGTAAAAATTGAGGAATGGAGAATTAGAAAAAGAGATATAGAAGAATGGATGAGGCACCGACAGTTGCCTGAAGACTTGCAAGAACGTGTTCGTCGTTTTGATCAATGTAAATGGCTTGCTACAAGAGGAGTTAATGAAGAAGACATCTTGCAATCTTTGCCTTTGGATCTTCGTCGTCAAATCCAAAGACACCTATGCCTTAAACTTGTTCGACGAGTATGTCTTTCTCGCACTATCATAGATCATTTTTTTTGCTAGACCGTGCATTATATTAGAGTATCATGACAAGTTGGCCATGTCATTACGATCTTTATATATATGTCATGGCCTGATCATCCGATATATGGTGTTTGCGCTATTTAACTTCTCTTGGCATTGAAACACTTTCAGGAGGCAAACATAAAGGAAAAGAGCTGTAGACAGAAAACATTTGGCCACAAGTTAAACAAATATAAACTAATTGAGCAAAAGAAATGCATTTGTACTAATGAATGTTACCTATAAAAAACATTACTAGTATTGGTGGATGAATAAAGAAAATAACTTTATCTGTTTAATCATCAACTAAGCTTTGACATGTGATGTGCCTTACATTCTGTATTGTATTCAGTCACTTACTTGTACTTGTGTTCCTACTCTGTAAATACCTAAGCTAGCCACTTCTATTTGCTAAGCTTTAGAGATCCCAAAATCTCCTGTCTATGCAGGTTCCATTTTTTGCACAAATGGACGACCAGCTGCTTGATGCAATTTGTGAACGACTAGTCTCGTCCCTAAGCATAAAGGGTACTTATGTTGTTCGAGAAGGTGATCCAGTAAATGAGATGCTCTTTATCATCAGGGGACAACTAGAGAGCTCCACGACAAATGGGGGAAGATCTGGATTCTTCAATTCTATCACTCTTAGACCTGGTGATTTCTGTGGTGAAGAATTGCTGACATGGGCCTTAGTTCCTAATTCAACGCAATTGCCTTCTTCAACTCGAACTGTGAGAACACTTTCTGAAGTTGAAGCATTTGCACTTCGAGCTGAAGACCTTAAATTTTTCGCGGTTCAGTTTAAACGTCTTCACAGTAAGAAGCTACAACATGCATTCAGGTATTATTCTCAACAGTGGAGAACATGGGGTGCTTGCTTAATACAGGCTGCATGGAGAAGGTATAGGAAGAAAAAGATGGAAACTGAATTGGCTTTACAAGAGAGCTATTACTATAATCAAGATCCTAACAACGAGGGTAACTACGATTATGATCAAAATTATGAGGCTTTTGAAGATGTTGGTCTTGAGCAACCATTAGTAGGCAGTGCTCATAGTTCCCAACAACTTGGAGCTACAATTTTGGCTAAAAGATTTGCTACTAATACAAGAAGAGGAATAGAACAGAAGGTTCAGATGACTGATTCTTCTTCCAGCTTAAAGATGCCCAAGTTGTTTAAGCCAGATGAGCCTGATTTTTCTGCAGAATGAAGCCATTAATTAATTAGTTAGAACACCCAGCTTTACTGAAAGGTACTAGTGAGTAATCAAAAAGCTAGTACACTTTTTGTTTGTAAATTTCAGGAGCCATAGGCCTTTGTCAATTTTGACTACAATATTCCTCTTACAATCATGTGAAATACAACCTTCTTTTGTACTTGATTGTGCCTAAACTTGTGACGGATGATAAAGCTACAGATAATTAGGTGGTCAAATTATATACAACAACCTTGTGGGTCTGGGGAGGGTAGTGTGTGGGTAGATCTTACCCCTACCTTGTGAGGATAGAGAGGTTATTTCTAATAGACCCTCAGCTCAGGAAAACATAAATACCACATTAATGAGGTCAAATTAGATAAGTTTATGTAATTGTTTTAACAGAACAACTCTATTTCACCAAAAAATAGTTTTTTTTTTCCAAATAAAAAATAATATCTCTTGTTTGTTTGGTGCAGAAAAAATTGTACCACCAAAAAGTTGGTCTCTTTCCCTGCCAGGAAGGAGAAAGAAAAAGTTCAACCATCTTACTCTTCATTATTTTAAAAAGCGCAGAAAGTGAAAGAACATGAAAAGCAAATAAAAAAAATAATGTATGTTAAAGAAGTGAAACGGAACAGAAAGAAGAGCAATGATATGTAAGAATATTATCATCAATCAGCTACCCTTAATTAGCATTTGAGCTGGAATAAAAAATTTCTGATATAAAGCACATATGTTGTAATAATAAATTTTACGCGGCACAAAATTTAAATTAATCCGTCAAAAAAAGAGATAACAGCATCTATGCAATTGGATTACGTGTAACTAGTTTGACACAGAGACAGTGCATCGCTCCTTTTGCATGGGCGCGCAACGCATTTTTCTCAGCGAATTTTGTGTATGCCCTAATTTCTTAAACTGTGCTTATCCCCTTCTACTTCTGAATTCATCAGCAAAATTTAAGTGATCTCTTGCTGCCTGTTACATGCTATGGCTACTCTACGGTTCTCTTCTTTGCTGGCTTCTTCCTCTCTTCCTTCTTTTCGTTCTTCAGGTATATACCTCTTTACCTTTGTTTCTGCACAAAATAATTTTGACGGATCTTGATTATTATTGCCTCCATTTGATTTCAGTATCTAACTTATCTACACTTTTATGTGTAACGTTACCTATTATAGCAGTTAGCAAGTTGTCTGTCTTACTGTAATTTTTTTTAGGTAACTAACTTTATTTATTAATTATGAATAGTTACGTGTAGTTATCTTTTAAAAGATATGATGGTACAAAAATCATGTTATACTCTTAGGGGTCGTTTGGTTGGAAAAAAGTTATCCCAGGATTAATTATCCTATTCCACCTTTCTATGGGGATAAAAAAATACTTCAATCCCGGAATTAATTATATCGTAATTTTCTCCCAACCAAACATGGGATAAGCTCTTCTTAAATTTAGTCCCGGATTTAATTATTCTTTATCCCTCGTACCAAACGAGCTCTTAGTGTCTAGAAGTTAAACTCTTGATCCTATATGTGTCTTTGACCGAACAAAGTTTAAGAAAGAAAATTTTGACTAATAAGTTAAATATATAGTATATACTCCTATAATATACCAAAAGTACATGTGGTCTTGCCATGTCAATTCCTATTGGATTATTTTCTTATAGGGATAAAACAGAAAGCTTAAGATAAAGGAGTTTCTAGATATCCAAAGGAATCAATTTTTCGACTGAAAAATGGAACAAAGGAGTAGTCCATTTCTAACCAAAAGAGTTGCTTTCACCTGGGTTTTTAGTGTCTTGATGATTAAACAAGCTAAGTTTGACTTAAATTCATCTGCTTATATTCTCTTTTATCTATTCTGATTTATAGGTTTGAGATTTCAATCTAAAGGTAGATACTTTGAGTACTCGAAAAATGGTATCAGAAGTTTTAGTAGCGCCGTGGTGCATGAAGAGCCAATCACTCCACCTGTTGAGGTTAAATATAAGCAGCTTCTAATTAATGGACAGTTTGTAGATGCAGCCTCAGGTTGACTTTTATCCCTTAAAATCTTTCATTTCAAATTTTCTTCTAATGTTGCTTCTGCTCCACTCGATAAACATGTCATGAACTTCAAGAGTTAACATGGAGAATACTATGTCTTTAGGAAAGATGTTTCCTACATATGACCCTAGGACAGGGGATGTCATTACTATGGTTGCGGAGGCCGGCAGTGAAGATGTCAACTGTGCAGTCTCTGCTGCCCGTAAAGCATTTGATGAAGGACCATGGCCTAAAATGACTGCTTATGTAAGGACACATACAGTAACTGAGCCTTCTTATCTTTCTCGATCCTCTTCCTTGCTCCCAACAGATAAAGGCGGATTCAGTATTTAAATTTGATGTGTTCAACCTTTAAGGTTCTTACTATTTGACGCATTGAGCTTCTGAAATTTTGGGAATTCTTTTATATTTGCTAACATTTTAGTAAATTTTCAAATATCTATCCATGTTATGTGTCGAAAATGACGGGTTCAGTTACACCAATCAAATCTATTGTCCATCCACCTTTGCCGATAATTGCTGCTTGTTTAGATGCCTTGTCTTACTTAAGTGTTAATTTGTTAAATGAATCATTTTTTTTTCAGGAAAGATCATGTATAATGTTGCGGTTTGCTGATTTGCTTGAGAAGCAAAGTGATGAACTTGCAGCACTTGAGACTTGGGACAATGGAAAGCCTTACGAACAAGCTGCAAATGAAGAATTACCAATGCTTATACGTCTTTTCAGATACTATGCTGGTTAAGAAAATTAAAATGGCGTTATATTTTCTCTGTTGATAGTAAAATTCTAATGTTTGCTGAAATCACCCGAATACTTTTCTAAGTTTTTCCATGTACATTCTTTTTCAGGTTGGGCTGATAAAATTCATGGTCTTACAGCTCCTGCTGACAGTTTGCACCATGTTCAGATCTTGCATGAGCCGATTGGTGTTGCAGGGCAGATAATACCCTGGAATTTTCCTCTATTAATGTTTGCTTGGAAGGTTTGCCCTGCACTCGCTTGTGGTAATACTGTCGTACTAAAACCTGCGGAACAGACCCCATTCTCTGCCCTTTACGTGTCAAAGTTATTCCACGAGGTATGTACCTAGGATAGCTGTACATTTGGTCTGCACTTGGTCTTGTCGTCACAGAACCTTTTTAAGTTATAATTCTAAAGAATATGCAGTTGTACTGTCATTGAGTTCGTTTTGATCTATTTGTTTACAAATATCAGTAGTTTCACATCTATAAGCGAAAACTTTCCCACTGTTGGTGCAGCTTAACGTGAAGATATTCTCCATCTATAAAAGATGATAGCATGTTTTTTGTGCTTCAAACCATTTGACAGGTTGGACTTCCCCCTGGAGTCTTGAATGTCATACCTGGCTTTGGTAGTGCAGGTGCAGCTCTTGCCAGTCATATGGATGTCGATAAGGTATTTTTGAGTTTTGGCTTTGTTCCTGAAATTGCCTTATGAGCCTATAATATACTAATGAAGGGAAACAGAACCTTGATTATAGCCTTTCGTTAGAGAGTACAATCCACATGTAGGGTAAATGAAGAAACTTATATCTTTTTCTTCTAACTCAACAAGAAGAGTTTATGCATCCTGATGTCCTTTCAGCTTTTGTACTTCATGCTCACTTTTGTTGATACTGTTGTGATGTGTAAAGTTTTGTAATGAATATTCGGGAATAGGTGAGGGAGAATGAAGGAGAACTGACATCTTCTTTTTTCTTCACTTTAAACAGCTTGGCCCTTGATATTACTTTCTTGCATATTATGGTGTCGTTTTTTTAGAATTTTTTATTTATCTGTGATGCCTAAAATGCAATGTATCTCTACATCACTCATTTTTGTGTCTACAGCTTGCTTTTACAGGGTCCACAGAAACTGGTCAAGCGGTACTAAGTGCAGCTGCAAAGAGCAACCTAAAGCCAGTGACTTTGGAAATCGGAGGAAAATCTCCTTTCATCATTTGTGAAGATGCAGACATTAATAAAGCTGTTGAGTTGGCTCATTCTGCGGTTTTCTTTAATCAGGTAGCAGAGTTCCACCCTCAGAAAATTGTGACTTCTGGTGCTTGCTCTGGAAAAAATAATTTTCAAATATTTGCAGGGACAATGTTGCTGCGCTGGATCACGGACATTTGTACATGAAAGGGTATATGATGATTTGTAGAGAAAGCCAAGGCCCGTGCTTTAAAACGTGTAGTTGGCGACCCTTTCAAGAAGGGAGTTGAACAAGGTCCTCAGGTACTATTCTTCCTGTAATAAAAAAATAGAATGAACAAGAGGAATAATATATCTTTACCAATTTGGAAGTAGCCAACTTTTCAGGGAAAGAGTTTGCCACTGGGACCTTTGTTATTTCCTTTTCATCAGATTACATATAAACTTAAATCACGAAGTTCTGGCATAGGATAATAGTAATTCTGAACTTTTATTTGCATTTCTGAAGTAGCTGTAACGCGGCCTTTTCTTGTATGAATAGATTGATACCGAGCAATTTGAGAAGATTCTTAAGTACATAGAATCTGGTATCGAAAGCGGGGCTACTCTTGAGTCTGGAGGGGAAAGATTGGGTTCCAAGGGCTTCTATGTCCAACCTACTGTCTTCTCAAATGTCCAGGTACAACTGCCATTGCCCATAAGATATATCCATACATAAAGTAAAAAGACGAATATGATAGCGATGGCATCGAATGGTTTAGTTTAAGATTATTTTTCAATTATTTAGGACAACATGCTGATTGCCAAAGATGAGATATTTGGACCAGTACAGTCCCTCTTGAAATTCAAGTAAGAGTACATTTCATCTTTATGTTTTCTAGCTGTGCTTGTATTTCTTTTATCAATTCTGAACCTGACCTTGAAACATTCAGGGATCTTGAAGAGGTCATTCGAAGAGCAAACTCGACACATTATGGATTGGCGGCGGGTGTTTTTACTCAGAACATAGATGTAGCCAATACAATATCTCGAGCCCTTAGAGTAGGGACAGTGTGGGTTAACTGCTTTAACATATTTGATGCTGCCATTCCCTTTGGTGGGTATAAGATGAGTGGACATAGAAGAGAAAAGGGAGTCTACAGCCTCAATAACTACTTGCAAGTCAAAGCTATTGTTACCCCTCTGAAGAATCCAGCATGGATGTAGTTTTCTTTTGAAGAATCAACCTAAACAGCCGCCCACCCAACTGCTTAAATTAAAAATAGCTGGCGGATGTTGTAATATATGTATAATCCATGTATAATATGTATATAATCATGTATAATTAGTGTATAATATATGTATATCGGCTAGAAAAGTAAACAGTAAATTCAGTCGGCGATTTGTGTAAAGTTCCTTTTCTTTTCTGTTTTGTGGTGGCACTTTTCTATATATTTTGCAACATGCAATCTTTTTTAAGGTCACTTGTATACTTTTTTGGATAAGATGCAACATGCAATCTTTGTTTTTGTATTTTCTTTTGTATACTTTGGCTGACCTAATACAACATGCAATCCTGTTTTCATGAGATCTTTTTTATACTTTCGTAGATAAGATGTGAAACAGTCTTGTTTTCTGTGAGATCGTTTGCCTTTGTGCGACTCATGAATTTTCATATTTTCCTAACCGTCCAACATGTTTGCTTGCTGTTATAGCTAGTGCATCTTCCAGCTTGTCAACAACTTTCTCAATGGAGGGTCTATTTTGCTTTGGTTCAATGCATGAAATAGCCAACTCCAATGTGCTGGAAAGCCTCTGTTGAGTAATCTCCATGAAGTTTTGGATCAACAAATACCATTGCCCGTCTTTCCCTCATCAGCGATTTCGCCTTAAATGACAGGTATTTATCAACATCAGTTTTCTTTTACGATTACTTAAACATTCATGAAAAGGGATAGTTGTTTACAATTTTGTCCAATGTTGTTGGTTGCTCCATGTTCATATTGATAACTTCCCTCCCAGAGAGGCTCTGCAGAAGTACTATTCCCCAAGTGTATACATCACCTGCTGAATTTACAAGATGATTCGTTTCATATTCCGGATTGACATAACTAAAAGTGCCTCTCACTTCTGAGATCATGTAGGATTCATCTTTGTCTATACCTTGGACAATCCGAAGTCAGAAAGCTTAGCTTCAAAATTTTGTCCTAGGAGTATGTTTGTCCTGCTGTCCCTTCACCAATGAAGTTTGATTCATTTAGATTGTTTGTAGCAGAGTAGACCTCCTCAATGGAGACTTCCACACTAGAATCTTTTGGCATTGCCAATTAATTTATCAACCTTTTTAGTCCGTTATACGCAACATGTTCAAAAGTTGCAAAACTGAAACAAAAAAAGTGGCGGCTATTTTTTAGGTAACCTGATAGCGGCAATCTGGAGAGGAACATCACCAAATTTCTTATCAGATGCATCTACTTGTCAAATTCTAGTACTTGATAGTATACTTGTAAATTTCTTATGAAATTCTAGTACTTGTAATGCAAACCTACATCTACATATATCTGATTCAACCTTCATGTACTTGTCATTTTCCGACTTCTTTTCCTTCCAGCTATTTATACAGGACTGACACGACTGACCCCCTTGGTCAAATTGAAAGTTATTAGTCAAACTTTCGAGTTTGTCTCCTAACTTCATGTTAACATCGTTAAAAGAGAAATCTGAGCAGCTGCCACCACCTCTTGTTAGTTTCTCAATCCCACAACTAAAAACAACTATCCCATTTCCTTCTTCATTTATCTTAGTCAAGCAGTTTGTCTGCTAAGTCGAATTCAGGTACAACTGCCCTGATTCCCATTGCATAAATGTAGTCTCGGAACGGTTCTTCACAATCATCATTCAAGTTTCTCTGTTGATATATAATAGTTGCGTTATGACAGCTAGAAAAAAAAAAAAAACAGTGCTAGATATGGAGGTAAAATTTAAGTCATATTTTATTAAGAGAAAAAAGTTTTGTTGTTAAATGAGATCAGCCGTCAGCATTTGACCTATTGCTCTTTTCTTGGTTTAAACATCACATAGCGATAGTGACGGAAAGATTTTGATGAATTGTTCAAAGGAAAAGTAGTTGAGAAACCAGGGAAAAGAATGTTTATTCTCATCACGTCAACTAAAATAAGGGAATGCTAGCACTTCTCGTCCGCCTGCAAATAAGCTAATACGTATTATGGAAATATAGGAAAGTTTGTGGCAGCTTATACTACGTTGTCACTTTGATTTTTGCTCTATTAGTTTTGTGTTTTATCCATTTGTATTCGACAAAGAACAATGACTAGAGTCCAGAGAGGTCAAAAATATATAATCCTAGTATGTGCCTATGCATTCACGATGTGAAAATACTAATACAATTAGTTTACTTATGAGGTATTGAGTTTAACTTCTATACATTGAGATAATTATACGTTATAATTTTTGACGATACTACTAGTTATCCAATAACTATAAAGTAAGTTCTAATGATAAGTGAAATTAGTATTCTCGAAAACAAGGCATGTTACTAGCTATAATAAATTAAAAACTACTAGGGGTAATTATTTTATAATTTCTTACAAATATCAACCTATGTAAGTCAAATCTTTCACGAAAAAATCTTTCATCTTTATGTACGAAATGATATAGAGTTTCCTTTCGATGTAAGTGTCAGGATCGGGAATCCGGATAGTGCGGAATTTAGCCAAACAATGTTATAATGACAATAATAAAGACAATATAAGTTGATAATAATGGTAATTAAAGCATATAAAGAAGGCACCAATTTAATGTGATTCGGTCCGTGTGACCTACGTCCACAAGCGGAAAGGAACAATTTCACTATAACAATAAGAGTATAAAATTAGAGTAAATACTCTAATTAATCCCAATACCCAAGAGAACAACCTCACAAGATCACTCCAAAGAAAAAGTTCACACAAGTGTTTCCCAATACTCAGCTCTCTTACAAAACTCTATAATGAAAGAAATGAGAGGTAAGAGATATTTGTCTCAAACTTTGGTGTGTATGATATAGACATCTGCTAGCCTATTTATAAGAAAATAAGATGGTCATTGTATGGAATATGATTGGCCAGCAAGGCCTTTAATGAATGGACATAAAATTTATATCAAGTGACCAATGAAAGACCATAGAGAAGCCAACAAGGCTTATAGTCTATGGCCAAAAGTAAGCCACGTATATCACAAATCTCCACCTTGGATTGGTTTTGGATAATATAATAAAATTGCGTCTCCTTTCCGCAAAAGCCCAGTGGGCGAAATCATTCTTCATAAATGCCAAGCAAAGCTTAAACTTGGCAACTGGAAGAGGTTTCGTGAAAATGTCAGCAGGATTGTCTCTAGTGTTGATCTTCTGAACATAGACTTTTCCTTCAGCAATGGTTTCTCTGATGAAGTGATACTTGATATCGATATGCTTCGTCCTTTCATGATACATATGATCTTTAGTCAAGTGAATGACACTTTGACTATCACGAAAAATGGTAATACCACCTTGGTGTGAATTGAGTTTAGCAAGTAGACCCTTTAATCATAAGGCTTCTTTGATCGCCTCGGTCACTGACATATATTCTGCTTTGGTAGTAGATAAAACTACTACATGTCGTAACGTAGCTTTCCAACTGATAGCGCAACCACCATGTAAAATACCTGTCAGTGATTTTCTTTTGTCAAGATCACCAACATAATCTGAGTCTACAAAACAACCAAAGTGTTAGTATTTCCCCAAACTCCAAACGTGTGTTTGAAGCACCTTGCAAGTATCTGAGAATCTATTTCACAACCTGCCAATGTGCTTTACTAGGGCAAGCCATATACCGGCTTACCACGCTCACTGCTTGTGAAATGTATGGACGTGTACAAACCATTGCATACATAATACTGCCGACTGCACCTGTGCCATATACCTCTATTCTTCTCTGACTGCGAGGACTGAGCAGCTAATAACTTAAAATGAGCAGCAAGAGGGGTACTAACTGGTTTAACATCTTTCATGCCAAACCTCTCCAAGGCTTTTTTCAAGTACTTTTTCTGGGTCAGGTATAGCCTATTGGATCCTCGATCTCTTTTGATCTCCATGCCAAGGATTTTCTTAGCTGCTTCCAAATCTTTCATCTCAAACTCACTTTTCAGCTGACTTTTCAAATTGTGAATTTCCGCCAAATCCTTAGCAACAATGAGCATATCATCAACATATAATAATAGTTACACAAATGAACCATCATTTAACTTCTGAAAGTAAACACAACTATCATACATGCTCCTCGAATAATCATGACCCGACATAAAGGAATCAAAACTTTTGTACCATTGTCTTGAAGACTGTTTTAATCCGTACAAGGATTTCTTTAACAAGCAAACATGATCTTTTTTTCCTTCAATTTCAAATCCTTCGTGTTGACGCATGTATATTTGGTCCCCAAGTTCGTCATGTAAGAACGTTTTCTTAATATCAAGTTGTACTAATTCCAAATCATACATGGAAACTAAGGCAAGCAAGACACGAATAGGGCTATGTTTAACAACATGTGAGAAAATATCATTAAAATCAACTCCTTGTACCTGACTATAGCCCTTTGCAACTAATTGTGCTTTATACCTGACCATCCTTTTTCTTGAAGACCCATTTGCAACCAACAATTCTTTTTTCTGATGGCGGCTTCACAAGAGACCAAGTAACATTCTTGTGGAGAGACTCAATTTCTTCATTCATTGCAATCAACCACTTGGTTGGGTCAGCACCATAAATTGCTTCTGAATATTTTGATGGTTCTCCAATTTCTTCAGTGTCCTGTGCAACTGAAAAAGCAAATGCAACATAATTTCCAAACCTTAATGGTTGTTTACTTTCTCTTCTTGGTCTATGTTTGGCTATAGAATACTCCTCTTCTTTCGGTTCAACCTCAAGAGTCTCAACTTCAGGAATTTCAGCTTCTAGCTCAACTTCAGGAGTTTCAACTGTGTTTTGCTCCAAAGTTGATGAGCTTGGCTCAGAAAGAACGTTAATCTCAACCTCCACCTGCTTTTGTGTACTCTTTCCTTTATCTGTATTACAAGAACTAGAAGACTCTTTTGTAGAATGTAACATAGAGGATTCATCAAAGGTTACATCTCTACTTTATAAATTTTGGTACCGTGGGATCAGGATACCATAGTCGGTATCCTTTTACCCTAGATGCATACCCAAGAAAAATGCACGTTTTAGCCATTCGCTCTATTTTTCCATCATTTACATGCATGTATGCAGGGCAACCAAATATTTTTAACTTCCTCTGGAGTCTTAAAGTTCAAAGGTGCAGAAGGAGCACGATTGACAATATAACAAGCTGTAGAGATAGCTTCTGCCCAAAAGGCATTTGTCAACCCATCATTTAAAATCATGCAACAAGCTTTTTCCAAAAGAGTTCTATTTATTCTTTCTGCCACACCATTTTGCTGAGGTGTCATTCTCACAGTACGTTGTCGAACAATTCCTTCATTCTTGCAAAATTCGTTGAATTCATCATTACAAAATTTCAAGCCATTATCTGTTCTAAGCCGCTTAACCTATTTTCCTGTTTGCTTCTCAATTAAAACTTTCCATTGTTTGAAAGTTAAGAAAACATCACTTTTATTTTTCAGGAAATAAACCCAAACTTTTCTTGAATAATCATCAATGAAAGTTAACATATACCTGGCACCACCTTTTGACGAGTACGTAAAGGACCCCAAAGATCTAAATGAATGTAATCCAAAGTACATTTTGTTCTATGAATCGCTGGAGATTTGAAGCAGACTCTTTTCTGCTTTCCGAATACACAATGTTCACAGAACTCCATATTTTCGGTACTTTGGCCATACAAAAGACCTCTTTTGCCGAGGATGGAAAGACCTTTTTCACTCATATGCCCCAATCACATATGCCATAATTTGGTGATGTCAGAATTTGATTTATCTGATCTTGAAACTGCAGCAGCACCTGTAACAGTAGATCCCAATGACATTTATGTATCTGAATTTTGACCTT